GGGCTGGCCCCTCATTAGTCTCTTAATTTGGAAGTGTTCCTTCATTTTTCTTTGTTTTTAATGATGTTGACATTTCTGGAATCCAGGCTAGTTACTTTGCGCTCTTGTGATGAGCTTTAGGTCATACTTTTTCCCTTTTTCCTGTTCTTTTTTCTTATTCACTTATTTATTGTAGGTTTTTGCTGTAGTGTGTGTGTGTGTATACACTCGCTGGAGAAAGAGAGAGGGAAAGTGAGAAATCACTCCCCAGAGGGAATGGCTATGCCACAATCCCTTCTTTAATTTCCTCTCAGGACTTTGGGCATGCGCACACGCGCCCAGCGCTCACCCTAATTCTCAAGCTGCCAGGTCCGGGATCCTAACCACAGTTGGCTATGTGAGAGTCTAGTGCCTTAACCATCATGCCATCTGCTGGCCCCTTCTTTCTTTCTTCTTTTTATCATTACTTTTAAATTGGCAGAGGGCTTGTGTGCTTGCTGGACAGAGTGAGCAGGAAAGTGAGAACGCACACCCTGTGAGGGATGAGCATGCTGCAGTCCCTTCTCCATGTCTCCTGTTGGGATTTTTGGCATGCAGGGACACGTGCCCGGTGCATTTTTAAAAAAGAATTATTTTATTTGGGACCAGCAGATGACATAACGATTTCACTGGTCTCCCATGCATTCAACCATGGTTCGAGTTTCAGACCTTGTGGCTTAAAACTCATGCTGGGGTGTGTGCGTGGGTGCTCAAACCCTGAGAGGAAAATGGGAGAGAAGGGATTGCAGTATGGCCACCCCCCCAGGGAGTGATTTCTCGCTTTCTTTCTGTCTGTTTCTGTCTGAAGACACACGCACCTATAGCAAAACAATTTCTCTCGGGACCGGCAGGCAGTGTGATTGTTAAGGGCGCTCGACTCCCACACGGAGAACTGAAGCTCAAGTCCTGGACCCGGCGGCTTGCTTTCTCTCTCTCACTCTCTCTCTAGCTTGTCAAATTAAAACGAATGAATAAATAAAATTAAGTAAATAATTCTTTAAAAAAAATCTCTCTCTCAGAGCTGGCAGGTGGCACAGTGATTAAGGGTGCTGGACTCCCACATGACTGACAGTGGTTGGACCTGGTGGCTTGCTTTCTCACTTTCTCTCTCTCACTCTGTCCCTCTCTGGTCAAATTTAAATAAATAAATAAAGTTAAATAAACTGATTCTTTAAAAAAAAAACTCTCAAAAAAAAAAAGAATTATTTTAACTTTATTTGACTAGAGAGGGACAGAGCAAGAGAGAGAGAGAGGGAAAGTGAGAAAGCAAGCTGTCAGGTCTGGGACTTGAACCCAGGTCTGGGTCGGTCATGTGGGAGTCCAACGCCCTTAACCACCATGCCTCCTGCCACACCCATCCCCAGTGCATTTTTTTAAGTTGCCGGGTTTGACTGCAGTTGGCCCTGGGAGATCTCCAGCCACCTTAACCATCATACCACCGGCCGGCT